TCTCAGCTAGGGCTGGGAACGGCTGCTGCCAAAACCACGGCCAGCCGCCCCGAGACAGCAGTGGTCGGACAGTACACAAACATCTTAAACCAATTAAATAAATACATAAACCAGGGGTAGGCAACTTTTTGGACTTCACACCCCCAACGACTAGCTGTTGGGAGTTGTAGTCCAAAACATTCAATGGACACCTGTTTGCACAGACAGCATGATACGGAATGGAGTCTTACTTGAACTTCCTGTGTTCCTGCTAAAAACAGCTGTTATTTCAGAACCATGAGGACCAGTATCTTGCTTTCTCTTTAGGAGGAGGGTTGTAGCTCAGTGGCAGAGGATTTGCTTTACATGCACAGGGTCCCAAGTTCACTCCCAGGGATCTCCAGGTTGGGCTGGCGACATCTCCTGCCCAGGAGCTGGAGAGCGGCTGCTACCAGTCCAAGTAGAGGAAACGCAGCAAAGGGCACCTTCGGTGTTCATTGCCCTCCTCCTCCTCCTCCCCCCCCCCACCCTGACCATGCTTCTTGCTGGGTTTCAGTTCGTGGGCCAGAATACAACGCTGCTCAGGCCCGTTGTATGTGGACTGGAAGCGTTTCCTTCCCCTCCCACCGTCCTGCACAGGCTCGCTTGACGGACGGAGAGCGATCTGGCTGACAGCAAGGTGCAGCACCTGCATAAATCCAATTTAAATAACCAACCCACAATCGAAGACGGTAATTAAAGTTTTATTTTATCAACTCTATGGTTAAATTACACAATCAAAGTCAGTCGCCTCCCTCCCCCTTTCGCCGTCATAAATGGACATGATAAATAGCGGCTTATAGTGGAAATCAGTAGAATGCACATGGTTATGACAAAAATTGAACCCATATACTCAAACAGCCCCTATATACAACGAACAGTATACACAAAAGAAAAGGGAGCACTTTTTATTTTCATAACCCATGCACGCCAGAAAACAAAACTGCATCTCCTCCAGCCGGCCAATAGGGCAGCACAGCGGTGCCTTCTGAATTCAAGCCTTGATTATCTCTCCCTGTAAAAATCAAAGGATTCACTGGAGATGCAGGTTTGGCATTTCAATTGATTAAACCCCCCTATGTAAAATGGATTTTGTTGCTGCCCCCCCCCCTTTAAGTTGAGCAATCTCCTTAGTGCTCCAAAGATTGCTTGATGCAACCAGCTCTGGAGAAGGCTGAGAACCTCATTGAGACACAGGAAGAAGGGGCTCTTAAGTAGATGCACAGAGGATTGTTCGGCCAAGCAGCAAGATGCGGAGGGGTGCTTTCAATTTTTAGTAAAGCTGTTTTATGTGGTGTGTCACCAGCCTTATTCGGTTAGCATCACAAAGGAAAGAGTCATATTGCAAGAAGACCCAAGTTAAGATTCAATTTGCATGAATTCAGGAAATGCCATTGTCAGATGCCTTCAGCCCCACAGCTGAGAAGAAGGAAAGGTTAAATTATGTCAAGCCGAGCCATTAAAAATACGGCTACCAAGCACATAAACTGAAATTAGCATCAGTTCTCGTTAGAAGGCTAGGTAGGAAAGCTTCAAAGCATGTTCTCTCATCATCACTGCCCTCTTCACAAGGTTTTTGCATAGAGATTCAATGATCGAAGCACATTAACTCACACTCTGCCTCGCCTTCCAGACTGCCAGTAAAAAAGAACAGCAGAGAACTACGCGACGGATGTGCTAGTGGGACGCCAGGAAAAGATCTCAAAAATCAGAGGCAAACAATGCCCCTGTTCCAGGACTCCAGTGTCTTATTTGGAGCATGTTCAGCCGAGGGTAAAATGCTTCACAACTGCAGCCTTATCAGCAGTCCAGGGTGCAAGTCTGACCCCAAGGACCAATTTCCCTCGGAAGAGATAAAAGCGGCCCTGTCCAGCCACGGTCCAGCACTGGGTGCAGGGAGGGGACTGCAAACCGGCCACCCGCTGCCCTTGCATCAGCCGAGGGACCCCAGGGGCCACTCGGGGGCTTTCCGAGTGGCCCCCCCCCCCCGGCGTGGACCGCCCCGCCGCCAGGAGTGCTAGGCTTCAGCCAGCAGGGCAAGTGGCCAGGGATGCCGGGAGCGCCAGCCCTGCACATGCGGAGGCGCCAGTGGGGGAGGCTGGCGTGTCGCGTGGAGGTGGGCAGGGAAAGGCGCGGCTCAGGGGCAGCGCCCACAGCAGAAGATCCCAGGGCGCCCGCCCGTTCCTCTCCCCTCGCCCCAACCTGGATGGGAGGCGGGGAAAGACACGCAGCGAGCGCCAGGCGCCACCTTCCCCGCGTGGCCTGCTTCATCCCATTTCTCTGCCCCATCTTCCCCCAATGCCCGTCGCCGTGTGGCCACTTCGCCGTCCCTTTTGCCTCACACAGAAGAGGCTCACAGCCGCACCGGCCGCTGCAGGTAACGCTTAACTTCGTTTTGTTGCGCGATGCCTGAGGGGGCGTGCGGGTTTACCTGCATCCCCCGGGCCAGGTGGACGGGGCACTCACTGGGTATCTTCTGTACCTATCAGGACGGTGCACCGCTGGGCAGGCAAGCACCTCTCCCCGCCGAAGGAGGCTCACTGCAGAAAGAGCCCACGTTGGAGGCCCCCTCCGCGCATGGGCTCCCCAGAGCGCAGGCCTCCCGGCAGGCGAGTCTAGGACCCCGGCCACGCTCTGCTCACTGCTCTCCTTTCTCCCGAACACCAAGCTGAGGCGGCCCACCCTGTACAGCTCCATGCACAAGGAGGACGGCTGCTCTCGAGTCTGCGTTTCGCATCTTCCGTCGCTGCCTAAAATCTTAACATCTCAGAGGGACACTAAAAAGCCAACCAAAAAATAGCCTGGGCGTCACATCGCGACACAGAGAGTGGGAAGAAGCAAATCCTGGCCCAGGCATGTCCCCCCCTCGAAACGCTCAGCCGCAAATGCTGCGTCTACCCGAAAGAATCTTACTTAGCACTGCACAAAATGGTGGATTCTTCCAAGCTCAGAACCATCGGTCCCTGCAAAGGAAATGCCTGAACAGAAAGACTATCTGTGAAAAATGGCCACATGGCAGAATCTCTTTCCCTCACCAAAATATTCTTTACATCCTCAATATGGATCAAAATTCAGCTACCCCACAGATGCCAGTGAGAGCATTTTGTGGTATAAACATCCTCCAAATAGCCGGGATAATATCCCATCCCCAACACCAACCCCTAACATGAATTAAAACAAGCTTAAAATCCATCAACAGGCAGGCTGATCTTTTTAAAAAACTTTAAAAAGACAAAGACAAAGTCCTTCCTTTCTTTGTCCAAAGCCAACAGGCGCTTTCCCTTGCTAATAGTTTCTTCCTCCGATTATTTACTGACCTGCTCATCACAATCTGTATTTGGTATTTGCCATTAAAAATGGCAGCACTGGAAAACATATTAATGGGAGAAAGGCAAGAAATGCAGCGGGATCTCATGAGATGCTTTATTTCTTGTCTGTGTGCAGCAAAGGAGTCCCCAACCTTTTGGGATTGGTGGAATCTGGAGACAGGGTTGTGAGCATTCTCACCTAATGGCTGCACAGGGGCCAGCCCATTTGCAAAGCTGGTCCCAAAGCTGGTCTCGTTTTCCAGAAAGCAAACCGACGAGACCCAAAGAAAAACAGCATGTCCAAGAACCCAAGGACAAGGCAGGACCGGGATCCAGGCTCCAAAACACAAGACCATGCAGCGCAACTCAAATAAATATGACGCCAAAAGATAAGCCTTCCAGCACGTCAGTCTCCTACTTACGAACAGTATAATTAATAGGATCTTATGGAGTCACATAGAAATCTGGAGGGGAGGGGACGCTGGTGGACACCAAAACAGGTGTCTCATGTGCAGCTGAAGAGCAGCAACACCAGGAACGCTAATGAAGGAACCTAAGAAGAACCTTACAGGATCAGACCAAGGGTGTGGAATGGGCTTCCCCGGGAGGTGGTTGAGGCCCCATCGGTGCGGGTGTTCAAGGATAGGCTGGACGTGCACATGCTGGGCATGTCGTGAGCGGAGCCGGTTGGTGCCGGAGGTCAGACTAGATGGCCCGGGAGACCCCTTCTGACTCGCTCTGTTTCTATGTTTCTGTGTCTATCTAGTCCAGAGTTTTGCCCACCCGGTGGCAGCCAGTGGCCCATGAGAACCACCAGCAATAAGACCATTCTACATCTCGAACTGCCAAGCTTTGGGAAACGAGCGCTTCCTCTACCTCAGACAACCCCCGATAGTGCAAATGGGCCCCACAGGCTCCAGAGGAGCAGATGAGGTTCCACCAAACAGGGTGAAGCTTTTTGGCCAAACTGGGCAGAGTCAGAGGGCCATATTTGCCGCGGCCTCCATGGTGGTGCAGCCCCACCTTGTTGAAATCCTGGCATGAAGACTGAGTAAGTCGCCCCGCTAAGCTGCTGTGTTTCTAGGGCTTTTCCCACAGAGATCTAAGGGCAGAGCAAATGCCCCTATTTGCACCCACAGAGTGTCTCATAGCTTTCAGTTTACTACCGCAAGTGCTGTTCTGGCTGTGTGCGACTCTCTTTTCTTATCTCTAGAGCAGGGACCAAAGAGAAAAACATGGGGGTTTCGCTGGACTGTTACCAAAAATGGGTTGATGGGCCACCCACACCCCACGCGCTGCCCTCATAAACAGACGTTTCCCCCCTCAAAAAGGCTCCCTCCATCCCTCCCTCCTGCGCCCGAAGCCTTCAGCCATCACCCACGCCAACATTTTCTATTTTGCCCACGCGGCAGTTTCTGACAGCGCTTGCTGGCTGCGTTGCCCTTCCCGGCAGGCCAACTCATCTGGGCTTTGCTTCTGGCAAGGGACAGATCTGAGACACGGAGGGATTAACGAGCCGGCCCACAAACAGTGTGGCGATTGCTGCCAAAGCCTGGGCGAAGGCCACAGGCAGTCCCTGGCGTCTCACAGCCCCCCGAGAGGCAGACGCGGCTCTTCCACCCCCTCCAGCGTGCAGCGCTTCCCGGCCTGCCCCCCAGAACCGCCCTGCTCCTATTATCGCCACTGCTCCACATTCCCCACGTAGTCAGAAGTCGAATTGGGGGCGCTCTGGTCCTTGCTGTGCCCTTGCTTTGCCCGCCAGATCTTCCGCTGCTCCTGGCGCTTCCTTCTGGCTTCCTGGTGCTCCTTCTGCCTCATGTACTGGTACCTTTGCAGGAAAAGATCCTTTGCATAATCGTACAGTTCCATGTCTAAAAAATTGAGGACCTCGATACGCTTCTGAGTCTCCTCGTCAATGTCTACGCTGGAGGCCCTTGTGCTATTGTACTGTGTGAATGGCGAGATGAAGTTCATGTTGAAGGTCTTCTCGAAGAGGTACTGAGTCTTCCTCTGAAACTCCGTGAGGCCAAAGAAGGCCATCCGTTTCAGGTTCTCCGTGGCGCTGTCCAGGAGCACCTTGTTTCGCTGCTCTTCCGGCATGACGGACAAGTTGTAACATCCTACGAGGCTGAGGTCGGCCAACATGCGGACCTGGCGGTTGTTGGCCAAGTTGAACGGGCAGTCCATGAACTCTTGCAGTGAGCAGCCCGACCAGTCATCCCCCGAGTAGCAGCTGGGCAGCTCTTCCGACGTGGGCGACCGTCCATCACAGACGTGCAGCGACGCCTTCCACGTGGCTCCCCGCTGCACATGCCGCCACTCGCTCAAGTAGCGGGATACCGGGTCTCGCAGGATGGTGATGTAGTAGAAATTCCTGTGGGGGGCACAGAAAACACACAGTCATTTTCTAAAGAAATGGCAGCTCGGTGGCGCTTGGAAGGAAGTGCCGGCCGAACAGACTGTAGGAGCTTAACTCTAATTCCACTTTCTAAGTCCACTCTGGGGGCTCCCTCTAAGCGTGACACACTGCCCATTGCGACGTGCCCTGACCTGAAGAGCCGGGAGTGCGGACTGCGTGCTCTCATGCTGCAAATTGCGTAGAGGGTGCAGAAAGAAGTTGATTCTCCCTCTGTGGAGATCTCCACCAGAGCGATTTCCTGAAGGTCTGGGGTAGTTCTGCCTTGGCAACGACTTATCCTGTATTTCTGAGCAGGGGGCCATCCTGTTTGTGCAAATCAGGAGCAAAACTCTTGAACATATCCATTCTATTTTATTGTGCCCAACTAATTTTATCTGTGAGCCGTCATGGGATTTGTGTCGTCTCGGTGACTGTAACGAGCAATCATTTCCATTCCAGAGGAGTGGCCACGTGGCTGGAACGTGCACAGGACGGGAGCTGTGGGGAGACGGACGCCACTCTTTCCGGGATGAGATCAGCATCCTTATCTGCACCTCTGTAATGCCCAATAGCCAAAATTCTCTGGGAGCGTTCCCCACACCCAGGTCCCAAGAGCGCCTGACTTGTGTTGCAATTTCTTAATTTGTTTCCAAGACAGACCAGCTTTCCAACTTTTGGGGGGTGGGATGGAGTACGCACCTTCCATAAATGGGAATACCCTCAGATGCATCATGTGTGAATTTAGAAATGCAAAATCAGCAGGTGAACCCAGCCTGAAGGCCAGGAAATAAATCCCAAATCAGCTAGGAATTCCTATGGGATCTCTCCTGGCTACCCAACGGCAAACAGGGACTAACAGGAGAGTAAGCAAAGCATTGCCCAAACAGAGCCTTTGGAACAAGGCAGGGCTTGTCCATGTTGACACCCTGCAGTTGCTTCTCACAGGACACCACTAAGCTCCTGTGTTTTCCAGCAGCCAAGGATAGAGTCCCTGCAACCAAGCGGGCAGGCTGTGGGCAGACACCTGTGCCCCTTACCTGCCGCACCAAAGCGTGCCTCACCTGGGGGGGAAGGAAGGGCAGACACTGCTCTAAGATGCGCTGAAAATTAGATCGCAACGCAGCACTATCCAAAAGCTGGCTCCGATTACAGCAGCTCTTGGATTCCTTTTTTAACACCCCACAAAAAGGCACAGAAATGTCATCAACACACGTCAGGCCTTCACCCCCATTAACTAACTAACTAACCAACCAACCAACCAACCAACCAACCAACCAACCCCCATCCATCCATCCATTCTGTATGTATGTGATCTGATGTGTATGCCACACACATTATCTATACATTTTATGATTGTCTAACTTTGTCTTTCCCTTTGGTCCAGCAGCTGACAGAGGGGAACAGACCGCAAACAAATTTTAAAAGTCTACACCTTTGCGTCACAATAATTTGGAATGCAGCAGGACATTAAGTGAGGAGAAAAAGGACAGCCAAGGCCCCCGCCAAGAACAATCCCCGAACAGGTTAAACGTCAGCTGCCCAAAAGGGAGCCGAGACGGGGCAAACCATCCCTCTTGCAAGAAGGCAATGCTATCGTTCCAGGGCCAGTTCTGGCCAGGTTAACCAGGGACACCCTGTCACGCCCCAGCGAGCTGAGGGACCAGAGTGCACACGTGAAAGAAGATCCTGGAGGAAGAGTAGGTTGAACAGGGGAGACGTTCTCTTGAAGCTCTACTCTGTCACAGAACGGGCCTGGATGCCAATCTGGAAGCCCCCTTAGAGCAGGATCCTCGGGGGCTGAGGTGTCTCTCCGAGAACAACCGCATGTGACCTGCGGCATTAAGGGCCGGCATGGGTCCTCCCTCAGCCCCCACAGAAGGCACCCCTGAACCTGGGCAGGCTTGGACAGCCCTTGGGCAAAACACGTCCTTGAGCTTCTCACCACCTCGTGGTCACCAGCTGCCCCTCCTTTTCAGCTTCTTTCTTGCCCTTGCTTGCCTGCCAAGCGGGAGCTGCTGAACCTGCCGCGCCTTCTCGCCACCACCGTTTTGGACCAGGAAGAGGCAGAGAAAGAAGCAGGCTGGCAGGGCGAGGAAGAGGAAGAGGAGCAAGGGCAGGGACTCTTGTCAGTGGGACCAGGCAGCTGTGCCCACCCTCCAGGCTGGTCCTGCACCGATCCAGCCCCGATCTAGGACCACACGCCTGGTCACCATTCCAAGCGATGCACCTGGGAAGGGCCAGTTGCTCAGCTGGTCTACTAGGAGAAGCTTCTCTGCACAAGACACAACGCCGGGGAGGCTCACTGGGCCCCCCTGCGGCACACCCGTCACCCTGTTAGCTCATCCCCGCGAGGTCAGGGATGCAGGATGTTCCGCCGGCAAAAGCAACTGCGTGGGCAACAGACTGGGAATATGGGAACGTCACAGAAGCCCTGCTGGATCAGACCCAAGGTCCAGGGCTCCACACACTGGGTGGCGAACCGGCTGCCCACAGGACCAGGAGGGGGCAAGGTCCTCAGCAAGGGTGCAAGCGGGCAGCCACCTCCGCGGAGGAATCGCAAGGGGAGCAGGCTCAACTCCGCAGGGTCCCCCCACCCCCACCCCACCCCACCGGATGTTTGTCTTTTTGCAAGGCACATAAAAGCGGGGTGGGGGGGGGGGAGAAGCAGAACGAACATGAAGGCTGTTTCACAGGCAGCAGAGTAGCACAAATCCAGCCCGAAAAGTGGCGCTTACAAGGCACTTTGTCCAAATGCCCTGCGTAAAAGCAGCAGGGACGGGACCGAGCCCTCTTTCCTCAGCCCGCTTGCGAAGAACGAGTCGCTGGCCTCGCAGACCTAGCACTGGGCTCGAGAGCTGCTCCAGGCACCAGCCACCCGGCTATACACTGATGTGGTCAAATGTGAAATAGAGCCGCCGCAAAGGAGAGGCGGGGAGCAGCGCCGAGCTCAGCCCGCCCCGCCCCGCCCCGCGTGCTCCAGCCCTGATCCGCCGCTTGCAGGCGAGGTGGGTGATGCGGAAGGAAGATGTCCCAGGCTGGTACCTGAAGTTCTCTTGAGAGCTTTGCAGGACTGTGATTCTCTTCTCTTGGGCCGCTGGCTCCAGAAATAGCCTAATGACTCAGACAGTGAGCTACAAACCAGGTTCAACCTCGCCTCTTTCTCTGCAGCGAGTGCACAAGCCCCACCAGTTTCTCAGGTGCACCTCTGGCTTTATTTTGTTTAGTAGCAAAGTTGTGCCCAACCCATTGCAACCCCACGGACAACATTCCTGCAGGCTCTCCTGTCCTCCACCATCCCTCACGGTCCACCCAAGCCCACGCCCTCCAGCTCAGCGACCCCATCCAGTCGCCTCAACCTCTGCCGTCCCCTTTCCTTTTGCTGTCGATCGTTCCCAGCAGCAGGGGCTTCTCCGGGGAGCTGCTCCTTCTCATTAGGTGGTGAAAGTGTTTGTGCTTAAAAGCCGCCCACTGGCATCATGCTCCTTCACAGTGCTGCGAAGGGACACCTCTCTCTCCACACGGCAACCAGCAACAGGAAGGCATGGGGGGTGGCCTTCCCATGAAGCGACACGAGGGCTGGCCGCAGGGGGCGGAAGTGAAGTCGCAGGGGGCTTGGAGGGCCCAGCGCCTCCTCACATGCTTGCTTGCTTCTACAGTATCGAAGGATAATGCAGCTGCCTGCAAGGGGGATCTGGCGGAAACACCAACGGGGCCCGGGGGCCACAAGGGAAAAGACCCTGCTTTGCTTGCTGCAGAAAGAGTGTGGCGAGTGCCGACGGCATTCCATCTCCCAAGTCTTTCTCCCGTGGCGTTCCCTGCTCAGCTGTGCCACTAGAGGTCCTCATCCCACCGAAAACAGCGGCTGGAGGGAGCTGCACAGAAGCAGCTGGTCAAAACAAGTGTGGAGCAAAGCAGCTGCAACATGCGTGTGATGTGTCTACAGGCGTCATTTGAAATATATACTGGACGAGCTGAGCAATCAAATCTGGCCAACCAACTAAGCAGCACGTGAGGAGCCGGTACTCCAGATCCAAAAGGATCCAGACAGACTATGGAAGCGGGCAGGAGACAACAGGATGGCGTTCAATGTGGAGAAGTGCAAGGTCTTGCACTTGGGGCATAGGAATGGGGGTCATAAGTACAGGTTAGGGGACAAGTGGCTGGAGAGCAGCACTTGTGAAAGGGACCTCGGGGTGCTGGCTGACTGCAGGCTGAACATGGGTCAGCAGTGTGATGCGGTGGTCAAAAGGGCGAACACCACCTTGGTTGCACAGCCAGAAGTGTGGCTCCTAGATCAAGAGAGGTGTTCCTACCACTCTATATGACTCTGGTGTGCCTGCAACTGGAGTATTGTGCTCAGTTTTGGGCCCCTCATTACAGAAAGGATATAGCCAGGTTAGTGCAGCGCAGGGCCACCCAGCTCCCTCAGTCTCGCCTCATACGGCATCCCCTGCAAACCGGCCACCAACCTTGTGGCCCTGCGCTGCACTGACTCTAACCTGGCTATATTCTTTCTGTAATGAGGGGCCAAAACTGAGCACAATACTCCAGTTGCAGGCGCACCAGAGTCGTATAGAGTGGCAGTAACACCTCCCTCGATCTAGAAGCCACTCTTCTGGCTATGCAACCAACCAAGAACAATGACCAAGAATGATGGTTTGTAAAGAAAGAGGGGCAGTGCCTTGATTTGTCATCGCCGTGCCCTGCATTTCTACCTATGTCAGGACTGGGGAGTGCCCATACCCTTCCCCAAAAGTTTTTTCAAAATTACCAAGGACTAAGAGGTATCCCAGGAACCTGTAAATCCACCAGGACCACAAAGATTCCTTCTCTGCGCTCAGGTCCCGAAACTTCTATCTCCTTTAGCATTTCAGTGGAAAACGTGGCATCAGTTGGGGGCCTCTTGGCTGTCCGGCAGTGTGCCCCGAATGCTAAATCACAAACTAGCCTTCTCCAACCTGACACCCTTTGGTCCA